TGAATGCATTTTAAATTGGATGGATAGCTGTGCTAGCTGCCTTAACTTTTCCTCTAGGGGAAGTTTCAACTATTCATCCACTGTTTTAGTTTAAACTTCTCTGCTCACTTGCTAACCAGCACATGATTGGGAGATGTGTCCTGTGCAGGAAACTCATCATAGCTGGTCGTGTAACCTGGTTATTGTGACAATATTGTGACAATTTCTTATTTGTAATCCAATGTGTGTGTTAATTTTCTCCCTGAACAAAAATATGCCTATACAAACACACAAAATCATAATTTCTATTTTTCAAATGAGCTGAGCTACTCCCACACATTCCTGTGTACCTTGCAGCATCTGCAGAAGTACTCCCTTGGGTACGTGTACCTTTGAATGGAAAACATTGCTCTCAAAAGGACCATAGTCAACACACCCATCTCCATGACAACTGAGCAAACTCTTGCACTAATGAAGACTGTATGCTACATATAGAAGTTATGTAAAATGCGAGTATAGGAGGATATTTTGGAAAGCTGCACCAACAGTTCAGCATGTTTTATCACACTTCCTACAAATAAACTTTACATTATTTTTGAATTTGTGTTTTCCAGGTAGCCAGCCATTTCACAACAGAATGACAATCAACCATTAGAGTGAATATCATGTCTGCATTTATTGTTATATTATCATTGAGTGGAAAATCTTATTAATATCTCCACACACTGATAACTTTGTCAACAATGAATGCAGGCATGGCCTTCACTCTGATGGATTACCTAAATGAAAGTTTCTGCTGGGTGATTTTCATATTGTAGTGATATGAACTGAAAACAGCGGCACTCTGGAAAATCGTATTTATCTCAAACACTGTAGCGTGCTTTAGAGAATGGTCAGCAGTAATATAGAGTGCACATATTTGCAGTTAATGGGCTGACACATGCATAACACTGGTATGGTCCTTTAAGCTCCTCCATACTGGGAGCATATCAGAGCTGTGGAGTTTCAATAAATACAGCAGCAGAAGAGCAGCTGATGCAATATTCGTCTTATATTTCATATAAGTGTCTGGTAGTTATGCCAAGTTTGCTTTTTAATCCTGTGTTACCTGCATTTTAAATTATTAATGAGGCCGATGAGATTTCACTACCGCCTCCAGTTTGATTTTGTGTACAGTAATCATTTTATCTACATGTCTACTTCTTCATTCATCCTCTATCAAGCCAGTTGGCATCAAGACTGTAAGAACGTTTTTTTTTTTTATCCAAGGGGAGCCTGGCCTAGAAAGCAGTATTAAGACAGTTGTAGGCAACATACAGTAACATGCATACTAAGCAACAGTGCAATTAAAATCACAAAGAGGTGCAAAAGTAGCTAAGCACCCAAACAGTCAATAATCCAATAGCAGAGCAGCAGGATCAGTGCCAAAGCCTAAGCACATCTTAGCAAAACAATACATAGCCGACAACTTATTGAATCTGCATAAAAAACACTCATAATCACCTTAAACTCACTAAGAGGGAGCTCATTCAGCTTTAAATTACTTTGTTATGAGTTCTGTGCCAAAGGAGCGATGTACACGATGGCTCTCCCGCTTCATTCAGCGGATTGTCAGAAACATCTCTGAGGCGAGAACAGATGTCTCTAGTTATTTGACCAGGCTCTCCGGGCTGCTGAATTCTCACTCTCACTCTCAATCCCCATTTTTTTTTTTTTTTTTTGCAGCCGACTGCAAATCTCTTTGCAGTGACAAAGCATCGCCTGTCAAGAGGATGATTCCATTGAGAGGCACTTCCTGATATGAGAGGTGCATTAATGTGATTAACCCACACTCACTATTGCCGTTTGATACAGGAGCTTAGGGGCTCATGTCACTCTGTATTTTTCTCTATTGGCATGATCAGCAGGTAATGGAAAATATGCTGATGTGTGAGCGGAAGCAGGTAACTCTAAATGTGATCTAGAGCAGACAACAAGTTGTTATCAACGGCAGAATCCACTGCTGCTGTATGCTGTAAGTCAATTATGTAATTTGACTTCAAAATTCAAAGATAATTAAGAACAAAATTAGCCTCTGAAACTCAGTAGCTTACAGAACCAGATGAGTTATGTCATTCTGCAGAGACAATATGTTCTCATTGCCATTCCAGCAATTATCAACCATTAAGATCAATAAAGATTAAATGACTATAATCTTCCAATAAAAACACTGTTATTCCCACACCCCAAAGGCGTTTGAGTATTTAAATCATTTATCATTTCATTTAAACATACAGTACCTGCGTTCTGGTGACTACTGTTTCATTTCATCACTATATTCAACATCATTATACCAATTCCAAATTCCACAAATAGCTGTGGAAGCAGGGTGCCTGTATACATGTGTTTCATACATTCACACAGCTAATATTAGTCATCCAAGAGACAAATACAAGCTTGTTGCACCAGCTCCAGTGTGTGTGCTGCAATGTGAAATTATTCATTTGATGTCAGAGTCATCATCCTTTCAGCTGCATATAAATGGCTACAGGTTAGACGTATGTTTTGATTGCACACTCACTGGAGCTGTAAACATATAGGGAGGCACAGCAGAAAAATAACTGTGCAGGAAAAGGAATTCTGGGATGCCATTCATGAGGCTTTTCATCAGGCGTCTTTTCCGATCCTTAGCTGGGAGTACCAGCAGAAATAGATCCCTGCACTGAGCACAGAGCTTTTAATAGAGGCATCTCCCTGCTTAATCATAGATATCAGAGAAATGGGCACATCCACCTCACAGTATATTGTTAATTCTTGGTGTAAGCTTAGTGTGAATCTGTTCATCTCAAAGCGATGAAAGTGTATGTATGTGAGAACATATGTATGCGAGAGAAGGCTCTTGGCAGCCCCTAGAGAATATATGATGCAGCCACAGAAAAGTAAGTGTAGTGCTGTGTGCAACTCTCTCAGCTCACACTCCTTTTTTTTTCGATCAATGGCTGAGATAGATAATAGCTTCCACGGAGACTTGCATCTTGCATCCTGTCTCTCTCTACCCTCGCCTCAAATCCCCATTTCTGCCTTTGCGTCTTCACACACTCTCTATCTCTTTCCTCCTGGCTCCGCCCCGACTGTCAGCGGCAGCATGGGAAGCCCACCAGCGCCAGGGGGCAAGGCAGGCAGAGCACAAAAGGATCTTGGAAGAGGCGCAGGGGAGGAACATCTGGTAAACCCAGAGAGCCTGTCCGTCGCTGCCGGCCGCCGTCACGTCATTACAGCTTTCCGGGCTTCCTGGTAACAGCTGATCCTCTAGGCCCACTGCCTCCATCAGAGTGGAGAAAATCCACTCGCTAACTCAATTATGCAAGAGGTGTGAATTAAACATGAGGTTACCACACAGGAATGTATACACACATCACAGGCGTGCACACTTGCATGATGCGTAGTCATAGAATATAATAACCCCATCTGTATGCTGATGCCGGGGGGGGGGGGGCTTTTTGCAAACAGTACATTGAGGAGCTCATCTATGCTGGCTGAGCCTTACATAACTGAAACAGCATGAGGACAGACTGGCAAGGATGACAGTGAACAGATAGGTGATTGGGAATTTTGCCATCTTCGCCACCTATTACGTCTCTCTGAGCTTTAAAGAGTAAAAACAGCCTTGCATGGGAGTCAAACGTGGAGCCAAAGGCTGAGCTTACCCCACCCCACCCCCCTTATGATTCCCTCCACAAGTATCTCTCTCTCTCTCTCTGTTTCTTGGTGTCTCTCTCCCTCCCTCGCTCTCCCTGCCCTTTATTAATCATCCTTGGTTAGTGGGGCAGAGAGCATGGTGTTAGGAGCACTGGGGAGTGTAGAGCCTTGAAATACACACACCTTCATGTGCATGCACACTAAGAGGCTCTGCACCCATAGAGCTAGGCAAACATTTTTTTTTTCCTTTTATCTCTCGGTCACTTATATTAAAAAAAAAAAAAAAAAAATCTCTAAAATATTAATTAAAAATGTAGGAAAACTCATAGGAATGAGTACACACACTTGCACACAGACACACACCATATGTAAGCATGTGCACAAGTACAGCTGATCTTCAGGGATCCTGGCCTGAGGTCCTAAAACTCAGCTGCTGCTGCTGCTGATGTAACCTCTTGTACAGTCTCAGTTGTTGTTTAGACATTCCAGCTCCAGCTTCCAAAGTGAGGCCATCTCCCGTGCCCATAAACACACCACTTTCACTCCAGTGCCACTAAAGCCCCTGGGTCAGAACCAGAACAGCGAAGACAGCAGCATCACCATGCCATTACAGCTATTAAACCTCATTATCAGTGTCTGGAAGTTGTAGCCAGCATCCTTGGAGAGCCGGACGTGGACTGATGAGACCATGGGATACAACACAACTAACCACTCTCACTGCTGTGGCCATTGGGCAGCAGAGTAGCCTGAATAATGGAGGATGTAATTAGGCCTTATTTCTATGCATGTAAGTGCACTTAGCCTAGAAGGCTCCAACTGGGCTACATGCCATTATTACCATTATCACAATTTGATCTCCCAGGGAAAGCGGTGAGAGAACTGGCCAATTAGATGTTATGGGGCAGTAGGAGGTTTACAGTAGAAGTCTGGGATGTCCTTTAGGAAGTGCACAGGGATGTGGTGGTGTGTAGATACACATAAACTCACTTTACTCACCCTTTGGCTCTATTTTGCAATGGTTAAGTCAACTTTAGCTGACATGTGCACAATCATACATCACAGGAAGACATGTAAAGCTAATGCAAGTTATATTAGGAGGTCATTAAGCACAAATCTATATATTTATCCTTATAATGTATGATTGATTTCTGCACATTAATTGGGCTTGTGATCACAGACTGGCAGTTGGTCCTGACATTACAGTGTGTGTGTATAATTATGAGATTTTTTCTGTTGAGAGGATGCAACATATCATAACACTCATCTTACAAACAGAGCTCAGGTGACACAGCTGCAGCAGCAGCAGCAGTAGTAGTGTTGGGAACAGAAAGCAGGGGACGCACCTGGTTTGACTGTCTTCAAGCGAATCGGCTCTCGAAAGTGGCGTATCACAGCCAGGGTGTCACGGTTTGTAAGTCCACTGACGGGCGTCCCGTTCACCTCCAGCAAGACGTCCCCGTAGTAGGGCAGCTTACCGACGTGACAAACCAGCACGTCCAGCTTCATCTGGCCCAGGTAAGGGAACTGTCCCAGCTCTGCTCCTCCCAGAACCTCCACCACGGAGCCAAAGTCCCCCAGGTTCCCCCATGACACGGCGCACTCCACCACTTTACTGGACCAGTGTTTCTTCTTCTTCAGTGTTCTGGACATGGTTACTCCCTTTTTTTTCCCCAAAAAACTAACGATCAAACTGGTTACAGTCGCCTCGGTTCGCTGTTGTTAAATGAGCGCGAAGTGACGCGGCCTAATAAACCCTCCTGAGTTATTCTCCCGACCTGCTGGGTATTTCATCTTCCTGACGTTTATGAGGCTGCTCTTCACCCGTGAATGTGCCGCTGAGGTCTGTCATCCCACGGGTTAATGCTCTGGTGTGCGCACAGTTGTCTAGGTTGCAGTAATTCCAAGCGCTCCGTGTGCGTAAAACAGGGGAGTTGATAGCGGCGAGATGGTTAAAAAGGGAACAATCAAGGTTTTATGCTCTCCATTGCTACTCTGGAACCATATCAGTGCGCTGCCTCGCCTCTGGAGCAGCCTCCCGACGCCAAGTAGTCAAAAACAAAATGTAAACAGAGAGTATTTTACTCACTCGGTGCTAGATTGTGGACTGTCTGTCGCCGAAATGTAGTGCGTCAACCAGAAATCCTTCATACCTGTAGGCAGGCTGAAAATAGACGGTCGGCAGCGTTCACCGGGAGGCGGTTAATGCAGTTGAGATCCAGCCCATGATGACTGAGCGGAGGGACATCTGCGAGCGTTTGTCTGCTACAGGTTTGAACACACCTGGCTCCGCCAAGAGAGATGTTGCCAAGCTCCGAAACGCCCCTTTTTACGCTCAGCAGCAGCAGCAGAAGCAGCAGCAGCAGCAGCGACAACAGCAGTGTTTTCGAGACTCTCATGCGGGCTCCATCCGCCGGTGTGCTGTGGTACTAAATGAAAAAAACATACTCTGTCAGTCCAATAATGTTCACCGTAACTTATTCTCATCGTGGTCCCTGTCTAAACGCAATGTTTATCAGCATTTTTTAATCATTTATCTCGCATGTTAGACGAAATAAGCCTAACATATACAACTAACTAAAAAATACACAGGCCGTGTAATCCCAATATTAAGCGTGCAAAACAAATTACAACTAATTAAGACTCTTAATTTGTATAGTACGGTAAGTATTCTTGGGGAGGAAATTCCGGGTGACTGTAATTAATATCTCCACAGCGCCACCTACTGACACAAGCAGAGCATCCTCATACAATTTCCTGCTCCAGTTCATCCCTCCCTGAGGTCTTCGCTTACCTACAGTAGGCACTACTCCGCTTGGCTGCATTCAACAGCATCTACCCAGGCGTGCTCTGTAAGACAATGACTGAATTGGTTTAATCGTTAATTATCGCTTGAATGTTATATACAGTTTTGTTTTTCCAAGTGTTTCTGCGCATTGCACTGTGCACTGTGTTCATGCATAAATCATCAGCACATATATTAAGCGGGTCTAGTGTTGTAAATCTGACCTTTTATTCAAGGGGAAGCTGTCCTCCCACCTACCCACATGCAATGCCTCCACACTTCATGGCCTGAGAGCACAGGTTTTGCATGAGCTCATTCATTTACATACCATATGTGCATCAGTATCCAACTGTGTGAGTTATAACAGATCCTTTGTTTGTAATATTCATTTCCTGTTACTAGAACTTAGTAAAAAAAAAAAAAAAAAAGATGACGCAGAACTGAAGTGGTTTTTAAGTGTAGCTTTGGAAGTTCATTAAACTTTTTAAATGTCACTTTATCTGTGAGGGGAGCTGGCCGTGTTTCACACAGCATGTTATAAATGATGCACAGCTTTCTTTTGCCGAAACCTCTCCAGTACAACATGATGGATTTTGGCTATTTGGGCATATTGACTCACAGAACTCACAGCCATATGTCAACATCATGCAGTCAGTTCCCCTGTATAACAGGAAATAGGGAAAACACACCTGTAGTTCTTATGAAGCAGTAGTTGTTCTCCGGGTGCGATGCATCAGGAGTCTCTGTTTAAATACTGAGTTGCTACCTTGGACACTGTGCTGAATAATTCATCGGCTTGTAGAAAATGATTAACAATGCTATCATGTCTTTGATGGGGACTGGAGAGTGGAGCTCAGCTCCAAACAAACTGCAGAATTTTAATGGCTGAAGCACTGTCAGATTCAGCTCGCATCACGTTTCCTGGGATGCCCCTGGATTTATGAAGGAGGGACTTAAAACAGAGTCTTTTTCTTAACGTCAAGACTGATGATGGACTAACAGTTTTTTTTAAGGCCGATATTAGCTGGTTTTGTGTTGGTCTGACACGACTAAATCCAGATTATAGATGGCTTGGCTTTTAAAATCGTTCTGTGGTGTGCCCAGAAATCCTGTTGTGGTTAAGACCCCTGCATCTGGAATTCCATATAATGTAAATCTAATCCTGCCAGAATATTTCTCATTTTTCTGTCAGCCTGTAAAGTATTACTGTAAAGACAGACACCCGAAACGTGATTAATCAATTGACAGAAAATTAACTATTTTGATAAACAATAAAACATTTTAGTAGTTTTTAAGCAAAAATGCCAAACATTTGTTTGTTCCAGAAATGTGAGATTCTTCTGCGATAGTTAAATATCACTGTAAATGTAATATCTTTGAGTTTTGGACTGTTGATTGGACAAATCAAACTATTTGAATGTCACCTTGGCTTCTGAAAACCTGTGATGAGTCCTTTTCTGAAATTTTACTGGCAAAACGACTAAGTAGAAACCAGCTCAATCAATCATGAAAATACTACTATTTCTATTTAAGACAAGTGTTGAGACAGACAATCAAGATTCAAACCAATTTATCAGAATTCATGTTTAATGTTTGAGTAATGGCTACGTAACAAAAAGGCTCTTTAGACATGCTTTACAGAATGTACAGGTAAACAAGGTCCAAAAATACTACTGAAAACAAAATGCAAAACTTCAACAATATAAAAAAAAAGCAGCATTGGATTTTGCCAGAGCAGTTACTGCTAAACTTTGGTATAAAGTTGTAAAGGACGTTCAGAGAATAAAACAATACAAATGCACATTAAGTTACAACATGTTGGCAGAAAAGATTTAACATTGAATCAATGTATGCCCCCCAGACATGTAACTCCATTATGATGACTTATCACTGCAGGTTTTCATTTTCATTTTTAGTCACTCCAAAGGGGCAGCGAATTGACCTTTAGCAACTGTCAGAAAACAAAACAAAACCACAAAAGTCTGCTTCCACTGAAGCAAGTAGTGTGTCAAAAAACAGAGGGACGTGGGAAGTCAAGTTGCTTTTAGCAAAAGCACTTGATAAGTATCTTTCTAGCTACCACCACATTCAGAGGAATAGGCTTGGGATGTGCTCATTTGGTAATAAAAATTAAACCTGACAGACAAAAGATGAAAACATGTTAGAACCGAAAGAGTGCAAGAATGGCATGCAATTCATATCTGCACGTACCACAGAGGAGGTGGAGCTGTAAGAGTACCATTTGCTGCTTACCACATACATGTAGTCAATTTTGAGTAATTATTGATCACAACCAACAATAACTCGTTTGGCCCGGTCACACTTCGAAAATATAGCATTCAAGCTGCACCATAACACGTTTGCAATGTAGATGAACTGTTCAGCATTACTGATTTTAGTGTCTGAATTCAGTACCATTGAATCCTCAGTGTACCACTTCAAAAGAGGGAGAAAAGGGAACATGGAAAACCCTTCCTTTGTTAAAAATATAAAAGCAGAATGTAGCAGTAATGATCAACAACGTAATGGAAATGTCAGACATGATATCTATAAAAAATGAGAATGATATAGGCGTGTTTCTGTTACTCAGCCTGCTCTCACTGATCTAAATGGGGTGGGCAAAATAACAGAAACACCAGTCTGCATAACACAATTCAATTCAACAGTGCCACAAATTACATCTTCTGAAATGGGAATACAGTTGAATCAGCAACTCTCTATAAAGAGTTTCAATAAAAAAAAGAAGTTCATTATAACTTACATGAAGGGAGGATTTAGTGCAGAATTGTATTCAATTGCATTAGTTCTAGCTAGGTGTTCCTAATAAACTGCCAAATGAGAGTAATTTGCTAAATATCTTGAGCACATAAGTTTTGTGAGTCACAAAGCCAAAGCCAATCACATCTAAGCTTCTCTGAAGTGCAATAATGAAGAGGATTCTTAAGGACAGCTACAGATCAAACCTGATGAAACAAGTCCACATTCTTTTACACTAGAGGCGTTTTCATTTTTAAATCCTCAAAGCGTTATAATAGCAGACATTTGGAAAAAGTACAGTTTGCTGAAGCTAGAGGCTGTTTGATTATTGTCTTTGAGTTATGAGGAAAACAACACCCATTTCTGAAGAAAATGTGTTACATTGTTACCTGAACCAACATATTTAAAAACGTCTGGATAACGCTGGGACACTACAGGATTAAAATTAATAAGCTTAATGTTTTTAAAGTTACTGCAGCTTACGTCTCAAACCTCTCTGTAAATGGACTAGTAGGACATGGCATTTCATATAACTAGCCTTATGTACACATACATACATACATACATACACACACACACACACACACACACA